TTGACACTTGTTTTGGTCCAGAGAATAGTTCCTCTTGCTAAATATTCTGAGTACACTGAAAGAAAGTGCATTCTGCTGATGCTGGGGGTGGGAGGCATTCCGTAGACATCAGTTAGTTCATGATGACTGGTAGTGTGACTGAGGTCTTCTGCACCTGTATTGATTTTCTGTCTACTTGTTCTGTTAGTTATGGAGAATGGGGTGTGAAAATATTTGAAACTGTTGTTCTATTTCCCCTGCAAGTCTACCAGTTTTTGCTTCATGTATTTTGAAGTTCTAGTTTACATGCATAAACATTTATGATTATTTTGTCTTCTTGGTACATTGACCTCTTTATCACTATGAAATGACCTTCTTTATCCCTGGTATTGTTTTTAGCTCTGAAATCTACTGTTTTTTACACTAATATAACTACTCAGTTTTCTTTTGATTGGTGTTGTATAATTTTTTTTGTCCTGTAACTATTTTGTTTTTTGGGGGTTTTTTGAGTCAGAGTCTTACTTTGTCCAGGCTGAAGGGCAATGACACGCTCATGGCCACTGCAGCCTTGACCTACTGGGCTCCGCCTCAGCCTCCCAAGTAGCTGGAACTACACCACGCCCATCTTATTTTTTTATTTACTGTAGAGACAAGGTTTTGCCAAGTTGCCCAGGCTGGTCTCAAACCCCTAGGCCAGCCTGGGCAACTTGGCGAAACCTTGTCTCTACAGTAAACCTCCCAAAGTGCTAGGATTATAGATGTGAGCCATTGCACCTGGCCATTCCTCTTACTTTTAACCTATTTGCATCTTTATATTTAAAGCACATTCTTGTAGCTAGCATGGAGTTGGGTGTTGCTTTTTTATTTCATATGACATTGTTGCCTTTTAATTTGGGTATTTGGAGCATTTATTTTTAATGTTGTTATTGGAATGTGTAGGTTTAAGTCTGTTATCTTGCTATATGTTTTTATGTCTCATTGTTTTCCCCTTTCTGCTTTTCTCTCTTCTATTGGACGAATGTAGTCAGACATTTTTAGAACTCTGTTTTATCTCCTCTGTTGACTTATCGGCTGTGTCTCTTTGTTTTCTTATTTTGATGGGTTCTTTAAGGTTTGTGGTTCATATGTTAAGTGTTAGGTTGCCTTCAGGTAGTTTCATGGCACTTCCTATGTGGAATGGAAACCTTACAGTAGTGTGCTCTCATTTCTCCCCCATGACCTTCATACTGGTGTTCTTATATATGTCATAAACCCTCAGCCCATTGTTGTTATTTTTGCTTAGTCCATTTTCTAGAAAGGTTTAAGTAATAGGAAGTCTTACAAGTATAACTGTGTGTTTACCCTCTCCATTGTTCTTTATTCCTTTGGGTACACCCGTATTTCTATCTGATATCTTTTTTTTTTTTTTTTGAGTTGGGGTCTCACTCTGTTGCCCAGACTGGAGTGCAGTGGCCGCTCCCGGCCACCGCAGCCTCGACCTGCTGGGCCCTGGCGATCCTTTCGCCTCAGGCTTCCAAGTAACTGGAACTACAGGCGCGTGCTACCACGCCTGGCTAATTTTTGATTTATTGT